GACTAGCACTGTGGCTCCTGAATGAGTAGCTGCTGAGGCTTGACCTGTACCACTTCTGCTGTCACAGTTAAGTTTACAGTCAGAAGACTGAAAGAATCGAAAGACCAGGGCTGGAGAGATGGCTCAGTGGTTAAGAGCACTGGCTGCTCTTCTAGAGGACCTAGGTTCAATTCCCAGCACTCACATGGCAGCTCACAACCGCACAACCATTCCAGTTCCAGGGGATCCGACACCCTCACACAGACATGCAGACAAAACACCAATTCATATAAAATAAAAATAAGTAAATCACTAAAAAATGTAAAAAAAGAAGCTTTTAAAGACCAAATAAGTGCTACCATTTGACACATCCCTAGTCTGCAATAAATGGGCCAATTTATATAATTTAGAAAAAGAAAAAGAAAAAAAATTTGTCTGTGTTTTCTGAGATTCACATCTGACCAAGGCTCCCAAATGTGTCCCATGCTTGTGCGTATGCTCACACACACCTGTAGCCGTGGGCACACATGAGGATGTTGGGTATCTTCCTCTATCACTCTCTGCTTGTTCCCTGGCGATGATCTCTCACAAGCCAGTAAGTGTTAGGTAGGTTTCCGCTAGGCTGACAGGCCAGAGAGTTCCCAGGATCTGACTGTCTCTGCCAGTGCTGGGATTTCAAGAGCATACACCCATGCCAGGCTTCTTTTCAACAGGTCCTGAGGATTTGAACTCAGGTCCTCTTGCTTTCACAGCAGGTGTTTTACCCACAAAGCCTTCTCTCTAAGCTGTTTGTTTGGTAAGGCCTTATGGGATGAGCTGTTAAACAGTCTCAGGATAGGGACACCTCCCCCACCTCGCTGGGCAGCTTCTCCTGTGTTTCTACTTTACTTTGAGACCCCTTTGCCGACGGTGTGACCCACAAACCTCCCATGGCTGGGGCTCCATGATAGGATGTTTGCCTCGAATACGTGCTGGTTCAATCCCCTATAATGCCAAAACAGAGATGCCTCTCAAGTTCACTCTCCTGGGATTTGACAGGCATGCATCTGTGGGCAGGACTGCTTGGGCAGGGCTTCCAGGGTAGTCATCATGATGCCTGCGGCTTCTACCTACTCTTCTCTCTCCATGGCTCTCACCCTTTCTGTGGTCTGGGGCGTGGGGTCCAGCTTGGGATCATCCTTGCTCAAGTCTTGGGAAGATCAGTAACTTCAAGTGCTCTTGTAAAATTGCCAGGCCATTGAGTGAAGCAAGTTTATGAGACTCCCAGGGAGCTGTGTCATTTCCAGCACTTATTCTGGTGGATGGGGACACCGAGGCCAGAAGAGATGACTGAGCAACATGGCTGTGGCGAGCTACTGCTGTGTGGTACAGCTGGCAGCCAGCCTAGTCTGTCCTTGGAGTAAAGCGCAGTCACTCCCAGGATGTCAGTCCCAAGGAGGGAGGAGAGGCGTGTTGGGGGTGCAGGGCATACTGGTATGTGGTCATGTTGGGGTACAGGGAATTCTGGGCTATGCATAGGACATGCTACATACAATGTGAGACATACTTGGGTGTGGGGCATACTGGTATGTGAGGCATGTTAAGCTGTGGTGCCTGTTGGGCTGTGGTACATGTAGGGCTATGGGAGTTGTTGGGCCATGACGCATACTTGGATTTGGGCACTGTTGGGCTGTGCAGGATGCTGGGGTATGGGGCTTGTTGATCCATAGGGCATACTGGGTTAGAGGTCATGTTGGTTTGCCAGACAAGCTAATGTGCAAAGCATGTTGGAGTACAGGACAGCCTGCAGGAGGAACTCAACCTTGCACTGTGGACCATGCAGGGACAGACGTCTCCAGTGAGGCAGGCCGGCAGGCCCTTGCCTTGGGAACTGCCGCCCAGGAGACTGCATCCTGGTGCTACGTGAAGACAGCTGCAGTTCCCCTCTACCCCCCTCCCCAGCTCCGAAGGGCACAGGACGGAAGGAGTGAGTGAGCCGGCCTGAAGGCCACTGCTTATCGTCGGGGTTCCGTGCCAAGCACGTCCTCCTGATCCACAAGGATACTTTCTGTCTCCTAAGCAGAGGGAGGCAACCTCATGTGTGCTAGCACAGGGGCTCTGCTGGGGGGACGCATGGTGCCCTTGGCAGCAGGGATCTTTTGATGTGCGCACTGGGGTCTTCCTGGGGCTGGTATCTGGCTGCAGGCCCCCAGCCTTGCCAGGTGCTGAAAGGATGCCCATGGAGGACTCACCATGAGGGAGGGGGAGAGGGCCCATGGCAACAGTGGCCCCTTCTGTCTTCAGGTCCTTTCTCCCTGTCACTGCAGATCTCAGGCTGGGGCCCACAGCAGGGGGCAGCTGGGCTCTGCAGACACTGGGGCTGCCTTAGGGGGTCCTGACATCCTATTCACAGGGTTAGGTTTCACCCAAATATTGGAGTGCCATGGAGGAATTGGCAAAGGGGTACCTGTGGGTAAACCTGACGGATAGCCAGTCCTGGAAAGGGACTGCGACCCCAGGGGGTCACAGGATCTTCTGTAAGTTATGGCTGGGAAGGCCAGGCTCAAACTAAAATCTTCTTCACCCTTCGCTTCCTGTGAAATCAGCACAGCAGCCCGAGAGAGGCTTCTGAAACATGGGTCACTTAGCCTCCACAGTGTTTGTAACTCCCTGGGCCCCCTGGGAAACTTATGGGGTCCACTACCTAGCTAGCCCCTTCCTTCCCAGTGGGACCAGGCCAGGAGAAGGACAGTGCCTCATATACTTTTAGAGGGACAACTGTTCCCATACCGGGCCACAGTCCAGCTCTCCTGTTGTGAGGTCCTCTGGCCTTTTACATTGCCTTGTTACTAACAAGTCTTGGTTTTCTGATATGGAAGAGGGGAGAAGATGGAGACGAGTAATCCCACAGCAGCGTTAGAGGGTGCTGCTGGGCATGCTCACCCGTTCGTTACCTCATCTGTTCCTCATCCTCTCTCAGTCTCTGACACGCAGAGTCTCAGCCAATGCCAACCCCCACCTCCCACTCCATTTCTCCTTTTCTTCTCTTTTCCATCCCAAATGAGAGGCCGAGGCCACAGTCCAAGGTTGGGGACAACACTGTAGCTGCAGCTGCAGAAGGGAGGCAGCTTTCATGAGGTTATGACAGGCAGGAGAGGATGGGTCCACTCTTTGGGCCCTTTAGGCTCAGGTCTAGGCAGTTGGGTCTGAGTGCTCTTTTCAGGCCTATGATAATTTGAAAGTGGGTCTCTTACCTATCAGTGCCCCTGAGAACACTTCCTTCAACCCAGGGGACCCAGAAATGTGTCTGAGGCCAGGCATGGTGGCTCATACCCTTAATCCCAGCACTTGGGAGGCAGAGGCAGGTGGATCTCTGTGAGTTTGTGGGCCAACCTGGTCTACATAGTGAGTCCTGGGACAGCCAGGGCTATATACAGAGAGAAAACAAAACCATGGGTCTGTATACATTGCATGTGTGTGAAGGTGAGCATGTCTGAACTCTTAGGGCTATACCTGCTTCTCTGTGGAATGGCTCTTTACCAGGACAGATCCACAGCCCTTTTTAGCCTAGGCCTCAGGAGGTCCAGTCTGCCAGGCATGGCAGGCCTCCAGCAGCACCCTGTGTTTCAACCATTCTTCTCTGTACTGCCTCTCAGTCACCACTGACCACTCTCATGGCCAAAGGTCCAGGTCAGTGGGCATGAGGCAGGAGATGGCTGTCAGAGTTGTATGGTCTGCGGATCCTGTTATCTCTCAGAGTCCCAAGAGCTCCTTAAGCCCCAGACCCTATGATAGTCTAGTGCCTGCAGTGCTCAAGTACTCTACCCTGTCGTCTACCATGTAGGAGTCTGAGGGCATTGTCAGGAAGGCTCTGGGCTGTTGGTCCTCCCTGAATTTTCTTGCATGTGCCCATCACTGGGAGTCCTGTCCATGCATGTGCCCATCACTGGGAGTCCTGTCCTTGTCCACTGCTCTCACCCTGCTCTCTTCCCAGGTGAATGAGGACTACCTAAGGTCTCCTGGGAAGTACATCTGACTCATGGTTACAGATGCAACCTTAGGCCTGGCCAACCTCAGGCCTCCCTCTGAATATTACAGACACTCGTCATGAGAACTTGCCTATCCCCAGCCCTGGCTAGCACTGACCAGTTAATGCTCACACACTGTGTGAAATGAGCTGAGCAGCCTGGGTAAGGAGTGCTGTGTATGTCTGGATACCTGCTGTACTTGGGCTCTGATTCTGCAGATCAGGATTAGAGCTTGAAGCCAACACAGGCCTGGAGACCTCAGCTTTGCCTCCTAGCAGCCTCTGACTGCCCATATCCTGAGTGGTGCCTGACCAGGGCTAGTCCCTTAGAACCTAGCACCTGGCATTTTTGTGAGGTCTCTGTTTGGGTGTCCTTGGGTCTTTGCTGTCTCTGAAGAGCCCTCTCTATGTGGCCATGCTTTCTTGTTCCTAAAATCTTGTAGCCATGTCCCTCATATGCCCCTGGGGGTTCTGGGAAAGGGAAAAGGCTCAGGTCAGCTCTGTAACAGAGAACCTTCCCTGAGTCTTGGTTTCCTTCTGGTCAGCACCCACTTGACCCCCTGTACAGAAGCCTCGAGAGGTCCAGGTGGGTGCTTCCCACGGGCAGGGGTCTGAATCTCAGTTCCCAGCTAAGTAGAGGACAATTATAGACCTCAAGCCTGGCACCTACAAAGTCCAGCCTCAGGGCTGCAGAAGCACCCAGAGATACAGCTATCACTGAGCTGGGTAGGTCCAGGAGGAGGAGTGCCTTTCTCCCTGGACAAGTAGTTCTCCTCCGTATCCATTTCCCAGGCCCCTGACGCAAGCAAGAGATAAAGTGTTAAGGGGCAGCTGGCCAGGACTGGCCCTGTCCTAGTTCCTGGGTTAGCAGCCCCCTACCCTGGGGGCCCCACTGCCAAAAGACCTGCTTGTTCACAGCAGGTCTTTGTGCCCCGGCCTCGCATGTGCGGGGGTGGGACAGGGTCCTTGGCACAGAACAGCTCTCTGACCACATGGGACTGCAGTGGCCAAGGTCTCAGCCATGCATAAATGGGGTGCCCCGGTTGCAAGGAGCAGGACTCCACCTCCAACGAGCAGCAGTCAAGTCCTCCACCACTCCTCCAAGGACCGTGTCCGGGAAGTCTGGGCCTAGGTAAGACTGGTTTGCCTCAGGGGACACAGCCTGGGCTTAGCTGGGCTCCTTTACCACACCCACAGTACGGCAGCGCCTGCTATCCCTGGTCTCATTCCTAAGCTATTCCTGTTTGTCTTTTGCAGGGGACCGACCCTTCTGGTGGTTGCTGCTGCCTGCAAGTATCAAAGAGTTGCCGGGGCAGACTTGCTGGCTGTTCCTTTTTCCTATGCATATACTTCTTTGTGGAACTGGTCTAAAGAGGTGTAGCGCATGGGAAAATGGAGCAGTGAGATCTTCCCCACCAGAAGGATGTGCTTAGACCTGCTTCCGGACCAGGCGACTTCTGCTTCCCTCCCACTGGACCCGGGGCTGGGAGCTTTCCTGTCAGCTCTGGGCACTGTAAGAAGAGCCGCACTGCCTTTCCTGTGTCTTCAAGGGAACAGTGCTGGCCCTACCCAAGCCAATCTTAGGGACCACTCAGGTGTTAGAATGGAGGACTTTCACTGGGTGGGGGAACTCTGGGGGCAGAGCCGACTGATCCAAGGTCTTACAGTGTTAGAACAGATCTGTCTAAGTTTGGGCTTAGGCAATCCTGGGTTCTGGGGACCTCGGAGGGGTGGGTAGGATCAGGACTTGATCTTTGAAATTTTCTTTAAGGTATGAAATCAGTGTATGAAAACATTTCACAATAGTGAATGACCACGGGTCTGATGTTGGAGGAGATAAAAGGGCCGGCTGAGGGTTCAGCGGGCTCTGGGTTCAGTCTGTATTGTTTCCTGTCACCATTTTACATTTTAACAATGATGGGTATGATTGATTTATATTTATATTTATTTTTTGAGCTTAAGTTCAGGCTAAAGCTGGGTGTCTCTTGGTGGCAGAATGCTTCCCATTAATGGGTGAGGAGGTCATGGGTTCAATTTCCAGAACTGAGGGAAAATAAAAATCAGGAAAACTGACAAAAATAAAATTTTGAGCCATGTTGTTCTGTTACACTGTTCTTTCTTTCCACGGCTGTGGCCTGGTGTGTGTGTGTGTGTGTGTGTGTGTGTGTTCACTGTGGGGAGTGACATCCCAGGTACCACACTGAAAGTGGGAGGGATATCAGAGGTATCACATGGGGGAATTGAAAAGTTTCTGCGCCCCGATAAGCCTCTCCGCCGATGCAGTAATCCAAATCAGACCAAATCAAACCAAATTAGGAAAAGCCCACGTTTAATGGATACAACGCTCCCAGATAGCCTGCTAGCCCCCCAGAGAGGAGATGAGAAAGAGAGACAGGAAAACCACATGTGTATTTTCTGAGGGGCAGTTTAAATACCCTGTGGGAGTGGTCTTGAGCATCTTTGGGGGAGGGGTCATCATTTGGTGGGCTTTCTGAGATGCAGCAGGGTTTGGAGGGAGATGGGGGAAGGGAGCTTGGGTGGAACCTCCACCATAACATCCCAGACTCTGTGGGTATACAGATGCCAGAGGCCAGGGTGAAGCTGCCACCATAACAGGTATTACAACTGGAAGTCTCACATCAAGGGAAGGGCATTACAAGGACCACACTGGGGCTTGTCACATGGGCTTGAGTGTAGGGCAGGGCCTTTATGGAGGAGGAACACAGGTCTCTGTGAGCTGAGCTGCTGAGTCCTTCACGCTTTTGCAGTTTGAGTCACTGGGCTCAGTGGGTGTGGGACCTTCATCCTGTTAGCCTAAATTGAGCCCAGCAAACTTCTACCCCTCCCATCTACCCCAGGCTCTGCCTCACTTGTTTCCTTACCCTTTTCTAATTGTCCCCAGTGGGCACCTCCCCTAATGGACCACTGCCAGAGTATGGAGAAAGGAAAGAGGAGAAGAGATTCTCAACAGGAAAGTTCCTTGCTTTTGTCCCCAGCTGCCAGCTGCCCAGTAGGAGGGAGAGACCGGGGGAGGGGGCAGTAGCAGCGGGCAGCAGGGTCTGTTGGGATAAGCCCTGGGTATAATTAATGACTAAGGAAGGGGGAAGTAGTTAAGCTCCTCCCTGCCTATGGAAACACTGCAGATTTGGGGAAATGGAGAGCATCATGGAGCAAAGAAAATGTGGCTCAAACCCTGGGACTACTGATGCCAGAAGATTAGCAAGTGAAGAACCATGAGGCAGAGAACAGCCCAGAAGCCTACAGGAGCCACTGTGTCCCAGCAATGATGGGCTGGCCGGTGACTGCTACTTTGTGGAGGCTGGTTACCTGTGAGCCTCTGGCCCGAGAGCACAGTCTCAAGGACTCAAGCTTTATGCTGCACTGCCAACTTGGAGCCTGTTGGGCAGTCTGCTATAGGGAGAGCAGCTAGCTCAAGCTTGTTGGACCATGAGGTGCACCACTTGCAAGTCCTCACCCACTGAGGGAGGGGTACAGGAGCTGTGGTGGCACTCCTTGGTTGGTACAACAAGTAATCTGTCAGCTCATGGACAGTGCCCCACTGACCTGTAGACCTACCTGCAGTCAACTATCTGCAGGCTCCCACAGTCCTCAGGGGCTTTGTTTAGGCGGTAGTCCCTGTACATCGTAGTGCAGTGTAAGTCATAGGTTCACTGTAAACATTCCCATAGTATGAACACCGAGAAAGGGAAGTCTGAAGTGCTCCACTGTCCAAGGTTGGCTTGCTGAGAGCTCAGGACCTTAGAACAGGTGCCTAATTCCTTTCACTATAGCCTGGGGTATGTGTGAGCATGATTCACACAGGTCAACGTCACCTTCCCGAAGACTGAGCAGGGACCCAGTCAGTTACATCCCAGCTGTCGGTGTGCGGGCCCTCAGTGTGGAACCAGCAAAGGGAAGTTCACCCTAGATCAATGCACACTATCACAAGTTGGTACCACATATCATCCCCCCTCTCCACGCACACAGGTAGCTGCTGGTCCTTGGCCATTGTGCTCAAGGGAGGCTGCTCTTCCAGCAGGTGAAATGCTGGGGCAGGAAGACTCACACAAAGACCTAGTCTGGGCAACCTTAGGTCCTTGCTCCTCAGTGTATCATCCACTCTGGAAATGCCACTGAGTGCAGTTCCCAGCTACCAACACCATCATGGCCATTGGCTAGGACCTTGCTAGAGGGCTTTCACAGACTCAAGTCCAAGCTGAAAAATATATCACCTACTTTTCCTTCCACTCTTTATTACCTGTGAGGCTGATAATTTTTATTTTTTCAGTAGGAAAACCAGTTTTGCCAACACATTTTGTTGAATAAATTATCCTTGCAGATTACGGAAAAAAAAAAAAACCCTTCACACAGAGGCCTGGTGTGGTGGTGCATACCTTTAATGCCACCACTTGGAAGGCAAGCAGGAGAATCTCTGTGAGTTCTAGGTCAGCCTGGTCTACATAGCAAGTTCCAGGACAGACAGGAACTTCTCAAGAAACAACACCTTCCCCCTCCACACACACAGGCTTTAAACACATCAAGCCCACACAACTCATTCATCAGTTACTAATTCACTCTTCAATGAATTTCAGTGAAAGAACAGTTTCAACACTTCCTCAGGCTGGACATGGCAGTTCCTGCCTTTGATCTTAGGACTGAGTTTGAGCTAGCCTGGTCTACGGTGCGAGTTTCAGGACAGCCAGGGCTACACAGCAAACTCTGTCTTGAAAAACCAACAAAATAGGTTGAAGAGATGGCCCAGTGATTAAGAGTACTGGCTGCTCTTCCAGAGGACCCCAGTTCAATTCCCAGCACCTACTGCTGTCTGTGACTCCAGTTCCAGAGGACCCAATACCCTTGCACAGACACAACAACAAGGCACAGAAGAAAAAAACCAAGAAAACAACCAATCACAAAAAGAAAACAACAGATGATGGTGGCACATGCCTTTAATTCCACAACTTAGGAGGCAGAGGCAGATCTCTGCGAGTTTGGGGCTAGCCTGGTCTACAGAATGAGTTCCAGGACATCCAGGACTACACAGAGAAACCTTGTATGTATGTTTATGTGTGTGTGTGTGTGTGTGTGTGGGAAATCAACAAAACAAATAAACAAACAAAATTTCTTGGGCCATAAATTCCCTAGTATCTTAGATGGGGCTGAAATCCCATCCATGGAAGGTGGTATGAACAGGTAGAGGCCTGGGGATTTCACCTACTTGGCAGAACTCCCAGAAGTCCTCAGAGGGCAACAGGAAAGCATGGAGTCAGAGCAAGGGTGCCTAATGGTGTAGTAGTCGTGAGTCATGGTCCAAAGTGGAAGCCGGAGAAAGCCAGGGGTGTGTGCTGAAGTCCCCAGAAGGGTGTACTCAGTGGGGAGCCCTGAGTTTGACCTTTGTTTCATTTGATGATACTGAAACTATGTTTGCAGAAACAAGCCTGGAGGAGGGGTGGGAACCCACGCTAGCTCAGCCTGATGTTGGCTGGCTCACCTGACCTCTGACCAGCTTCATCCATTCTAGGGACCCCAGGAATGCATGGTGCTAAAATACACCCCCAAAGTACTGAGTTTGTACAGGTTGTGCTGTGGGGTGAGGGGATGGTGCAGGGTCCATGTGGCTTAAATACTGTGCACATAAGGTATGTTTCCTAGCTCAGAAGGGCCACAAAGGCTTGGGGTCTGCAAGTGGTGGGCAGAAGAAGGGGATGGAATGGCCCAAATGCCAAATCCTCTTCGGTTGCCCATCCCTGTTCCAGAATCCCATGCAGTACTGGGGAATAGTCAGCCAGGGAGAAAGGTCTCATGGCTTCCCAGTTCTAGTATGAAGAAGAATTCAGAGATGCTTGGCCCAGATGACCAAAGGACTGAACGTCCCAGCAGTTTTCTTTAATGCATCCTACAGTGTTCTTCCTATGTACACACAGGCAAGGTTCAGACTTCTGCAGCCCAGGTACCCACTGGGGAATGCATCCCCTGCTCCCCTGCTGATTTGAAAATGACTATTGTAAGCCGGGCATTGGTGGCGCATGCCTTTAATCCCAGCACTTGGGAGGCAGAGACAGGTGGATCTCTGTGAGTTCGAGGCCAGCCAGGTCTACAGAGCTAGTTCCAGGACAGTCTCCAAAACAATACAGAGAAACCCTGTCTCGAAAAACCAAAAAAAAAGAAAAAAGAAAAAAGAAAAAAAGAAAAAAAAAATGACTATTGTGGCAATCACCCACGTGTTTAATATATAAGTCAATCAGTGCAAGTGCTGAAAAGAATGCTCTAATTCTTTTTTTTTTTCTAATAGCTGTGTGTGCTCTCTGGTGTCTGCCTCCTGCCTGTCACTCAGTCCATGTCTGGTTCTGAGTGACTCAAGGAAAGCTGACATTTTACTGTTTCCCCGTTTTTATTCTGTGGCTGATAGAAACTCGGGTGCTGAGTATAATAATATTCTGAAGCAGCTGCACTTTTGGGGGATGATGGCCAATGAGACAAAGTTTCACTGTGTAGCTCAGACTGGCCCTGAACTCAAGGTAATCCTTCTGACTCAACCTCCAGAATGTTGGAGTTCAGGTGCACCTCTCCATAGGTGACTCTCACTGCACATTTTATGACATGATTCCAACATTTGTAAGTCATTTAATTTCTTCTGTGTGTGTATTTTTTTTTTTGGGTTATTTGCTTGTTTTTTTGTTTTTTGAGACAGGGTTGCTTTGTATAGATCTGACTGTCCTGGAGCTCACTCTGTAAACCAGACTGGCTTGAACTCAGAGATCCACCTGCCTCTGCCTCTTGAGTGCTGGGATTAGAGGCGTGCACCACCATTGGCCAGCTTTTTGGATTTACTTATGTGCTTGAGTGTTTTGCTTGCATTGTATATGCACCACATGAATACCTTGGGATGGTCATGAGCCAACATGTGGGTGCTGGGAACTCAGCCCAGGTCTTCTAAAAGCACAGCAAGTGCTCTAACCACTGAACAATCTCTTCAGCCTCTTCATTTCATTTCTTTCTTTCTTTTTTTTTCTTTTGCTTTGAAATAGGGCCTTGCTATGTAGCCTTAACTAGCTTTGAACGCCCTCTGTAGACCAGGCTGACTCTGAACTCGCAGAAATACACCTG